AAAAAGGGGCGAAACAAATTTTTATCCAAAATTCAAAACGGTAAGGGGTTAGCCTTGCATTTTAATCAAAAAGGGGCGAAACAAATTTTTATCCAAAATTCAAAACGGTAAGGGGTTAGCCTTGCATTTTTATCAAAAAAGGGAGAAAACAAATTTTTATCCGGAATTTAAAATAGTAAGGGGTTAGCCTTGCATTTTTATCAAAAAGGGACGAAAAAAACATTTTTATCCAAAATTCCACACGGTAAGGGGTTAGCCTTGTATTTTTATCAAAAAGGGGCGAAAACAACTTTTTATCCAGAATTTAAAATAGTAAGGGGTTAGCCTTGCATTTTTATCAAAAGGGGACAAAAACAAATTTGTAGCCAAAATTTAAAACGGTAAGGGGTTAGCCTTGCATTTTTATCAAAAAAGGGCGAAAAAAAAAATTTTTATCCGGAATTTAAAATAGTAAGGGGTTAGCCTTGCATTTTTATCAAAAAAGGGCGAAAAAACAAATTTTTATCCGGAATTTAAAATAGTAAGGGGTTAGCCTTGCATTTTTATCAAAAAGGGACGAAAAAAACATTTTTATCCAAAATTCCAAACGGTAAGGGGTTAGCCTTGTATTTTTATCAAAAAGGGGCGAAAACAAATTTTTATCCAGAATTTAAAATAGTAAGGGGTTAGCCTTGCATTTTTATCAAAAAGGGGCGAAAAAAACATTTTTAGCCAAAATTCAAAACGGTAAGGGGTTAGCCTTGCATTTTTATCAGAAAAGGGGCGAAAACAAAGTTTTATCCAAAATTCAAAACAGTAAGGGTTAGCCTTGCATTTTAATCAAAAAGGGGCGAAACAAATTTTTATCCAAAATTCAAAACGGTAAGGGGTTAGCCTTGCATTTTAATCAAAAAGGGGCGAAAAGGAATTTTTATCCAAAATTCAAAACGGTAAGGGGTTAGCCTTGCATTTTTATCAAAAAAGGGAGAAAACAAATTTTTATCCGGAATTTAAAATAGTAAGGGGTTAGCCTTGCATTTTTATCAAAAAGGGACGAAAAAAACATTTTTATCCAAAATTCCAAACGGTAAGGGGAATAGCCTTGTATTTTTATCAAAAAGGGGCGGAAACAACTTTTTATCAAGAATTTAAAATAGTAAGGGGTTAGCCTTGCATTTTTATCAAAAGGGGACGAAAACAAATTTGTAGCCAAAATTTAAAACGGTAAGGGGTTAGCCTTGCATTTTTATCAAAAAAGGGCGAAAAAACAAATTTTTATCCGGAATTTAAAATAGTAAGGGGTTAGCCTTGCATTTTTATCAAAAAAGGGCGAAAAAACAAATTTTTATCCGGAATTTAAAATAGTAAGGGGTTAGCCTTGCATTTTTATCAAAAGGGGACGAAAACAAATTTTTAGTCAAAATTTAAAACGATGAGGGGGCTAGCTTTGTATTTTTATCAAAAAGGGGCGAAAACAAATTTTTATCCAGAATTTAAAATAGTAAGGGGTTAGCCTTGCATTTTTATCAAAAGGGGACAAAACCCATTTTTTAGCTAAAATTTAAAACGGTAAGGGGTTAGCCTTGCATTTTTATCAAAAAGGGGCGAAAACAAATTTTTAGCCAAAATTCAAAACGGTAAGGGGTTAATTAGCCTTGCATTTTTATCAAAAAAGGGCGAAAACAATTTTTTATCCGGAATTTAGCCTTGCATTTTTATCAAAAAGGGACGAAAAAAACATTTTTATCCAAAATTCCAAACGGTAAGGGGTTAGCCTTGTATTTTTATCAAAAAAGGGCGAAAACAATTTTTTATCCGGAATTTAGCCTTGCATTTTTATCAAAAGGGACGAAAAAAACATTTTTATCCAAAATTCCAAACGGTAAGGGGTTAGCCTTGTATTTTTATCAAAAAGGGACGAAAACAAATTTGTATCCAGAATTTAAAACGGTAAGGGGTTAGCCTAGCATTTTTATCAAAAAGGGGCGTAAACAAACTTTTAGCCAAAATTCAAAACGGTAAGGGTTAGCCTTGCATTTTTATCAAAAAAGGGCGAAAACAAATTTGTATCCAGAATTTAAAATAGTAAGGGTTTAGCCTTGCATTTTTATCAAAAAGGGACGAAAAAACATTTTTATCCAAAATTCCAAACTTGTATTTTTATCAAAAAGGGGCGAAAACAAATTTGTATACAGAATTTAAAATAGTAAGGGGTTAGTTAGCCTTGCACTTTTATCAAAAAGGGACGGAAAAAAAACATTTTTATCCAAAATTCCAAACGGTAAGGGGTTAGCCTTGCATTTTTATCAAAAGGGGATGACAACAAATTTTTATCCATAATTCAACATAGTAAAGTGTTAGCCTTGCATTTTTATCAAAAAGATAGGAAGAGTAAGTTTGATCAAAAAATCAAAATGGTAAGGGCTTAGCCTTGCATTTTTATCAAAAGGGGACGAAACCTATTTTTATTCAAATTCAAAATGGTTAGGGGTTAGCCTTGCATTTTTATCAAAAAGGGGAAAAGTTAAGTTTTTATCTAAAGTTCTAAATGGTAATGGGTAAGTCTTGCATTCTGATTAAAAGTGGACAAATATTTAGTTCTATAACAAATTTGAAATAGTAAGACTTTGTTTAATCTTTGTAAACAGAACGCCAAGCACCCACGTGTACTGGTGTGCCATTCAATAAAGTGAATCATCAATGAAAGAGAAATAAAGTATTGGCTCAAGAAATTGCCAAAAGTCAAATTATTGCTTCAATGTGTGCTTTTGTGTGTGATCTGAGAATACTGTATGTTTTTTTTATCAAAACAGGGCAAAAGTTAAGTTTTTATCACAGATTCAAATCGGTAAGGGATTAGCCTTGTATTTGTATCAAAAATGGACGAAAACAAGTTTTCATCACAATTTGTATCACAATGGGGGAAAAAGTTCAATTTTATCAAATTCAAAACTGTTGGGTCAGCCTCGCATTGTTATCAAAAACTGACGAAAGGGATAAGTCTTGCATTTTAATCAAAACAGGGCAAAAATTAAATTTTTGTCAGAAATTCAAAACGATAAGGGGTAAGCCTTGCATTTTTATCAAAAATAGGACGAAAACAACATTTTATCTAACTTTCAAAACTGTAAGGGGTCAGCCTTAAATTTGTATTAAAAAGAAAAAAAACCTAATTTTTATCACAAATTCAAGTGGTTAGCCTTGTATTTTTATCAAAATGGGGGAACGATTTAAAAGTTTTTACAAGTGGTAAGGGGTTAGCCTTGTGCATTTTTATCAAAACGGAGCCAAGTTAAGTTTTTTTATCAGAAATTCAAAACGGTAAGGGGTTAGCCTTGCATTTTTATCAAAATAGGGCAAAGTTAAGTTTTTAATTCAAAACAGTAAGTGGATGCATTTTTATCGAGATATTGAACAATTTTTTTTCAGTCAAAACTCAAAATGGTAAGGGGGTTAGCCTTACATGTTTGTTAAAATATGTGTAGGACAAAATTTTTCATCGAAAATTCAAAACGTTAAGGGGTTATCCTTGCCTTTTTATCAAAATTCAGCAGTACCAAATATCAAAAATATCAAAAGAAGACCATTATTATTTTATCAAAAATTCTTTTGAAATGGTAAGGGATTAAACCTCGCAATTTAAACAAAATTCAGAAAAATAAATATTGAAGTACAGAAAGCACAAATTATATGTACATGTAATAATTTTGACCTACTCAGTGAAAAGTGCTCACATGTTGCACGATGCAATTTCAGAGGATTTCTTTGTAAAAAAAAAAAGGGCAAACCGAAAAACAAAGCGTTTTCATGTAGCAAATGTTCCGAGTTATATTTCTCAGCATAAAATTTGGAAGGCCTTGCCCTGTAAGAAAACCGTCGGTCTGCATTTTCATTTCAGAATTTTGTCTGTGAAATTGAACGCCAAGTCACCGGTAGTAATTGCAGAATCTATGAAGAATTGAAGATATGATGCATCATGTAATCATTGTTCACTAAGCAGGTTAATAGCTGCAAGAAAGACAAAGTTACACTGTGATTCATGTTCATTGAGCAGGGCCCAATTTCACGGCGCTGCTAGGCACACGGTTTTACGCTAACAGAGCCTCCGTCTATTTCTTGGAGACCGTAAGCATTAAAGCAAAGCAAAAGGCACGCTTACTACAGAGGAAACAAATCTGCTTAACTTGCATAATGTAGCAATAGAAATCTCCACGCATGCGCGGCCGTTAGCACATCAGCGCCGTGAAATAGTGCTTAAGGTAAGCACATTTTCTGCTATGCTAAACACAACTTTTCTGCTAACTGTTAGGCAGCGCCATGAAATTGGGCCCAGGTCAAAAGATCCTGGTAAGGTTGGTTTAAACAGGGCCACCACGAGAAGGTCCCAGGATACCAGCCCCAAACACGCTTTCAGTATCGTCAGGTCCATTGCTGGATAAAAGGTAGGCCCCGGAGGGCCAGACACAGTTATCGACTGTCCGGTACGCTCCCCCAACCCCGAAGGATCAGGAGAGTACCCTAACCTATATGCGTGCCCCCCTCAGTTCATCCCCCATTACAGGTTCATGCGTTCTGAGGAAGTAGCAGCGTGTGCCGGCTCTGAATACAGGGCCACGCCCCTATAAAAGAGGGACGCACTACCTGCTCCTTTACAGCACGGCATCCTAGGGTTTCCAGGCCGCTGCGTAGGACCCACGCCCCACGTGGATGGCGGACCTTCCACGCGGACGCAACTCGCCCCTTAGAACTGGGTTTACTCCGCTGTACCAATCGGAGCACCAGTCCAACCCCGATTAACTGGGTTTACGCCGCACCTCAACCGAAGCACCAGTCCCGCTCCGATTAACCGGGTTGCGCCGCACCTCAACCTGAGCCCCAGTCAAAACTCCAGTTAGTAATCGATTCCGCCGCACCACCTTATACTGGGCTTGCGCCGCACTTTTGAAGCACCAGTAAAACTCCAATCGCCCGACGTGCTCAATTTGAGCCGATGATCTGTGGAGAAACCACCACCCCACACAAAACCAACCACCACCGACCCCACAACCGCAACATGTACCAGAACATACACCAGAGGAAGAGCGCGCTGGGATGCAATTAAACATTTAGAGTCTGACTCACTCTGAACAACCCATCGAACGACTCCACTTGCCGACTGTACTTGGGTCTTGAGATCCAGGGTCTTGAGATCCAGGGTCTTGGGTGTTCACTGGCTCAATTTGAGCGCTAATGGCTGAAAGAAAATGGTTAGTCCTACCTTAGTGAACATATCTACATGTAGCTGACTTGTTTCGTGATAAGTTTAATCAACGGCTGAACAAAATGGTTGGTCCCACCTAATAGTGAACACACCTGGCCGACTTATTTCATGCTGGCTGGCTGGCTAGCTGGCTGGCTGGGCTGGCTGGCTGGCTGGCTGAAATTTTATCAACATTTGACAGAAATTAATTTTTATCAAAATTAACATGGTAAGGGCTTAGCCTTCCATTGTTATTGAAATGGACTGAAACATAAGTTTCATAAAAAAAAACAAAGGGGTTGGCTTTATCTTGCAATGCTACATGTATCAAAACTGGACCAAAATTGCTTTAAATTGAAATTCAACCATTTTACTTTCAGAAAAAGTTGGTTTTTTAAATTCAAAATGGTAAGGGGATATATTGTAGCCTTGCATTTTGTATCAAAATCACACAAAAATAAATGTGATCACAAATTCAAAATCATAAGGGGTTATGAGCCTTATGTTTGAGCCTTAAATATGACAACTATTTTTCCAAAGATTCCACATCATAAGCCGTTAGATGTAGCCTTGCATTTTGTATCAAAATGGGACAAAATCAATTTTTATCACAAAATTAAATTCGTAAGAGTTTAGCCTTGCATTTTGATCAAAATTGTACTAAAAATAAGTTTAATCAATGACTGAACCAAATGTCACGTCCTACATGTACCTTAGTGAACACATCTGGACGACTCGTTTCTTGCTGGCTGGCTGGCTGGCAGGCTGGAACACTGGCTGGCAGGCTGGCTTGCTGGCAGGCCAGCAGGCTGGCTGGCTGGCTGGCATGCTGGCAGGCCGGCAGGCTGGCTGGCTGGCTGGCAGGCTGGCTGGCTGGCTGGCTGGCAGGCTGGCTGGCTGGCTGGCTGGCTGGCAGGCCGGCAGGCTGGCAGGCTGGCTGGCTGGCAGGCTGGCTGGCTGGCTGGCTGGCTCCCCGGCTGGCAGGCTGGCTGGCTGGCTCCCCGGCAGGCTGGCTGGCAGGCTGGCTGGCAGGCTGGCTGGCAGGCTGGCTGGCTGGCTCCCCGGCAGGCCGGCAGGCTGGCTGGCTGGCTTGCTGGCAGGCCGGCAGGCTGGCTGGCTGGCAGGCTGGCTGGCTGGCAGGCTGGCTGGCAGGCTGGCTGGCAGGCTGGCTGGCTGGCAGGCTGGCAGGCAAGCTGGCTGGGTGCGTGCATGCGTAAAAGGAAACATGCAGTGGAAATTCAGCTCATCTTGTTTTCATGCACATTACTACATGTATGTGTTGCAACAATACATACTAGATCTTAATATATAACCGACATACAGATCCTTGTCATTTGATTGGTGGAACTCGCATCACGTGGCATTCGTAAGAGTTTAGCCTTGCATTTTGATCAAAATTGTACTAAAAATAAGTTTAATCAATGACTGAACCAAATGTCACGTCCTACATGTACCTTAGTGAACACATCTGGACGACTCGTTTCTTGCTGGCTGGCTGGCTGGCAGGCTGGAACACTGGCTGGCAGGCTGGCTTGCTGGCAGGCCAGCAGGCTGGCTGGCTGGCTGGCATGCTGGCAGGCCGGCAGGCTGGCTGGCTGGCAGGCTGGCTGGCTGGCAGGCTGGCTGGCTGGCTGGCTGGCAGGCTGGCTGGCTGGCTGGCTGGCTGGCTGGCTGGCAGGCCGGCAGGCTGGCAGGCTGGCTGGCTGGCAGGCTGGCTGGCTGGCTGGCTGGCTCCCCGGCTGGCAGGCTGGCTGGCTGGCTCCCCGGCAGGCTGGCTGGCAGGCTGGCTGGCAGGCTGGCTGGCAGGCTGGCTGGCAGGCTGGCTGGCTGGCTCCCCGGCAGGCCGGCAGGCTGGCTGGCTGGCTTGCTGGCAGGCCGGCAGGCTGGCTGGCTGGCAGGCTGGCTGGCTGGCAGGCTGGCTGGCAGGCTGGCTGGCAGGCTGGCTGGCTGGCAGGCTGGCAGGCAAGCTGGCTGGGTGCGTGCATGCGTAAAAGGAAACATGCAGTGGAAATTCAGCTCATCTTGTTTTCATGCACATTACTACATGTATGTGTTGCAACAATACATACTAGATCTTAATATATAACCGACATACAGATCCTTGTCATTTGATTGGTGGAACTCGCATCACGTGGCATTCGTTATTGCTCCCATTCATGCCGCGGCTCAAAAAGTACTATCCGCCCATGGGGAATGGGAAATACTAATCAACAGTTAGGATCATGACGCGGTATTTGTGTGCAAATGCATGTTGGTGTGCGCGTTCAGCGTTGCGCGTAGCGCTTATTGTTCCAAGGAGCCAGCGCTACAGCGTTAGGTTCAAACATTTTCGTGAAGGGGTGGTTTGGAAGAGAGAAATACATTTTCCTCCAGTTATGTATTGAAAAAAAGTTCAAAAAATATCAAATGACAAGGATCTATGTCAGTTATATAAAACAAATATTGAGTGGCTTTAAATTGTGAAATGGGAGGAATATTATCGCTCGGTAAAATCTGGACTTTTCCAGTTCACTCGGCTTCGCCTCTTGTAATGGAAAAGTCCACATTTTACCTTGTGATAATATTCCTCCCATTCCACGCTGAGCCACTCAATATTTGTATAATACATGTTTTCATTGGAAGTGACAAGAAAGTGGTAGTTTTTCAATTATTAGCAAATCCTTTCATCAATACATGTAAGAGGGCGCTATTTTGGTTTTGTCACTTAAGGTACTCCTTGTCAAAAGTGCATATGAACAGTACAAAAACTGCTCCTTCAAATTTACCCACAAAAAAAGTTTTGAAGAAATATTGGTCACTACTATTGTCCAAACAAGCTGTTTAAAAATGATAAACAAGTATAAAGTGGAATTTACTCCAAGAAAATGAAGAAAAGTTTGATATATATCTGTACACAAAGCTATGGGGACACTACTGTTCTGCCTTGAATGACATCACCCATTGGCTTATGAATATGGAAATTTTCATTAGCATAAAAATTAAAATGTTGAAATTTCTTCCCTTTACTGCTACAAAAGAGGTGGAAAGTCATAGTTACATGGTAAGAAAGCTGTTTTTAATGTATTTAAGTCATTAAAATCCCATTACATGTTCCCTTTAAAGTCATTCGAGATATATTATGGAAGACAATTCCATAACAACAGTAACTTGAAGAATGACTCTTTGTTCTTAGAAGAATTTAGTCAGTTGGCATTGGGTGGCGGAGGAGGACGAATGGTGATGGTTGGTGGAGTTAGCGTTTGGCGGTCCAAGAGGAAAGATGTAATTTGGGAGTTGTAATCACGAAGTGGCTATTGTTATGGCAGTCGTTGTTTAGCGCCATCTACGATACATTTTGATAAGCACGCAGGTATATAATTATTTGTTTCCCCATGTTTTAGCGAGCAGTGTGACAGCTCAGTTGATAGAGGGTAGGATTTTTCACCGCGAGGTTGCGGGTTCGCATCTCAGTTTTGCACTCAATTTTTTTTTCCTTTTCTAACCTGAGGCTTTGGAGGATATTTTTTAAAAGGGAAATAAAGTCCGAATTTCATAACGTTCAAATTCTCTTTTTTCCTTCTAATTTTATATTTTCTTCTCATGTTTTTATAAAAGTTGCAGTCTACCGTAACGATACAAAATGGGAAATGCGTTACGGCTGCTGTAACGATAGCCACTGCGTTGTAATAAAGTTTAAAGAGATTTTGCAAACATGACAAAGTGTGACTGAATGTCTTCGTTCAAGAATCATCCAGAAATTCCCCTCCTCCACTTCACACCAATTTTTTCCTGGTATCTGTTCGGAAACAATGTTGCAACGTGACGCCAATTTTGAAACAAAGACAACTTCTTTCTGTTCTTGAAATTGACACTTGTTAGTGTTACCAATACCATTATGTTAAAGGTGTCAACATTATTAGGAACGCAATTCCCTTCGGCACATGGGCGTCGCGAGGGGGCGTCTTTTACATTTTGTACAGTCAGACAGCTACTTTTTTTTTACATGCAGTGCTTGCAAATTTGACCTCATTTTTCCTCACCATTTTTATCCATACTTTAATTGAAATTGTTCCCACAAGTTCTCCAGTGTGGCCAGTAGTTCCTACTAAATTACTTAAGGTGAAAATGCGTAACTTACTCTGCATTCTTGTGATGGTTGTTGACGTCCGTTACATCGTCCGGCTTGCCCGCGAACAACAAATGGCGGAACAACCACGTGCGCGCGCCGTCGTTTTGAGTGTCATCCCATGGGGGCGCCCCACTTACTAACCAAATTATTGAAGGCCTAAAAAAAAGGTTTTGCACCACAAAACTTGCTAATTAATTAAACAAATAAATGTGATACAGATTTACACAGATTAAGTCTGTTGTTTCCTTTTGCTCAAGCTTCCTAACCATTTGAAAATTTAAAATTGATAATCGCATTATGTCTTCCATAAATATTTTGTGCCTTTTCTTAAAAAGAAGTTCAGGTTTGAAAATTCATGTTAACATGATTACTCCGTGATGCAAAAAATGCTTAAGTGAGCCTTCATTTATCGATCAAATTAGCGATTTAGTTGGTCGAGAACTGGAGTAAAAGAACACATTTTATTAGACTCAAATTAAATATAGACTTAGGTTTTCTGAAAGGGATTCCCCAGGCGCGGTTCTAGAACCAATATTTTGTGGGGGCTAGCAGGGTGAATCCAGATTTTTTTCAGGGAGGCGTGCTGAAATGTAGACCGGTTATTTTCTCCAGACACTTAGGCCTCCGAAAATCAATAGGGGGGGGGGGGGGGGGGGGGGGGGGGGGGGGGGGGGGCTCATAAAATCCTAAAATCATTCACACTCTATTAACTACAAATGCACCCTTGTCACGACTTTCTTTAGGGGGAGACCGTTCGCATGTACATCACAATCCTTCTTTTTGATAATGCAATTTCTTTTTACGGAATTTCTTTTTGGGTGGCTAGACAAAATGTTGGGGGGGCTAAAGCCCCCCCCCCCCCCCCCGTAGAACCGCGCCTGGGATTCCCCCATGAAACTCTGCCTTCACTTATTTGAATAACAATCATGAGGTCATTCTAACAAAAGCAGGAGCACACTTCTCAAGAAACTGTCCAACAAACTGTTTTCATTGCAAAGATAAATTATTTGGTTTTATTGTTCCAAAATACATGTGGAGGTCAAAAAAATTATTTAAAGAATCGAAAATTTGGGTTGAATCTGTCAAAAAATTTTTTTTTTTTTTTTTTTAATAAACAGCTACTTTTTAACAGATTTTGCCTCAAAAACAAAAATTAGGTGAACCGTACCATTTTTCAATAGGGGGCGCTGTTCAAATCCGACAATTATTAACATTAGATTACAGAATGGTGTACCGTATTTTGAACAGGCAGACATTATATCCAGTATAATCTTTTTTGGGTGACACAGCAGGGGGGGGGGGGGGTTCCGACTTATTTTTTAGGAATTTGTATGAAAAAAATTAAATTTGGACAGAGCTGGTTTTTTTTTTTTTTGACCCCCAAAACCCCCCCTCTGGATCCGCGCCTGGAAGTTAAAACAGCTGTTATACTGTTTTTATTCTTTAAAGTTTGATAACCATGCAAAATGTTCACCTTTTTCAAATGGATATATAGCGTCTTTGGAAATAAAATGGAGGAATTTTAAACTGGAAGTGAAGCTGAGGCCCCAGTGCTGTCGTTTGTTGAGAGGATTAAAACAAAGAAAAGGTCCTCAATTCATACGATGGCTTAGCACTGATAGCCAATGCTAATTTGGGATTCTGCTATCCTACCAACTATTTAAACTCGAGAATGAAGTAAAGAAATCAACATGGATGAAAGGGACACGAAGGAAAATTAACAAAAAGGCATACAGAACAACTGTATACAAAGAAAGGAGAAATAACATGCAGAGAAAATGAAATCAAGTTATTTCTCGGAACCCACTCCGTTGGGGTACTCTGGAGAAATTTTTACCAAGGATTCTAAAGATGCAAGGGAAAAAGCAACAGCTATGCCAAATGTACACAAGGGCGGATCAAGAACACAATTTTTTGGGGGCCAAAAAAAAAAAAAAAAATTGAGTCCCCCAAAAAGTGGGTCAATTTTTTTTTTTTTTTTGGGGGGGGGGATTCTAAATGCTCTGTGGTGCGATCTGTGGCAATTTCTGACCACTTTAACCAATTTTTTTTGGGGAAGAAAAGATGGTGTACGCAGTGCCTGCCTTTATAGCGACGTCACCAAAAAAAATGGGTTTTTTTTGGGGGGGGGGGGGGCAACGGGGGACAATCCCCCCCCCCCTAAATCCGCCCTTGGATGTACATGTAAATGAATTTTTACAAAATAATCCATGAAGTTTGCTTTTAAACCTATTAAATGAATGTGATCTCATATGACAACTGTACAATAAAAATCAGTCATTGACATTCTCAAATTCGTATTTGCAAAAATAACCGCGATTATGCTACAATATTTACAATATTCTTTTGAATTGTATTGGTGCTGTTTGCTAGCTCTCCCCCCCCCCTCCCCCAGCAACCCACTCACCTCCCCAAGCAACCCCCCCCCCCCCAACATGAACATGCACAAATGTTGTCAATGAATGAAACTTCCCTGGTATACAATGATTCTTACAAGTGATAAGAAAACATCCAAGTAAGTGCCAAAAGAACACTGGTTCCTGCCCCTCCCCTCCTTCAGAAATCAAACAGCGAGACGGGGAACCAGCTGCCTTCTTAGGCTAAACCCTGTCGTTCCTGGTAATCATAAGTCCATCAACAAGAGAAATTGTTCATTCTTTGCAAATCATTAGCCTAGAAATCCCCCCCCTATAAAAAATTTAATTAAGCCCCTCCCTCCCTCTGCTGCTATATATGACTCGTATATTTAGACTGTACAAGAACACATGGAAGATTCATTAGGGTGATCTATAAAATTGCCATGGCTACTGTTTCGTTTCCTCATTTCCTTCGTCCGCCTGATGAGTTGGACAAGATCATTGCGATTCTGATGAAGATATTGACTGTATCCATGTAGATCCCCATTGCCCTAGAAAAGAAATGGAACAATAAATGAAAAGAAATATCAGGTTTTTAAAGGCATATATACCAGTACGATCATGCATTTTGTTCGTTTCCAATAATAACACCACTCAAAATCCAAAGAAGAATGTTCAAAACATAACCTGTTGGAGTTTCAGCTCAGTGGATATTACACTTTTCGATAAAACATATTAAAAAACCATGCACAACAGTATGACAAAAGAACACGATTTTGTCAATAGCACTCTTAATTTCCAACGATCAGGCAATTGACTGATCGTTGGAAATCACCTACATTTCTTGATTTCTTCTAAATGACAGCGGGCCAGATGGAATAATTTCACGGTGTGTTTAGTACCAGTACGATCTTTAATCCAAGTAAGCTTTTTGATAATTAAGTAGGTTACTTCTAAGATAAATGCAAAAAACCCTATAAATTATGCCTTTAAAAACTGTAAAGTCAGTCGTTCGAACTTTTTCTTTAAACATGTTTATACTGCCCATGTACTGGCGTGCACAGACATATTTGGTATCTTAAAATAACTCTTTCCAAAAAAAACATTCACTTACGCGTTGATTGGATCGTAAGGCCTCTGGGGCATGATGGGATAGGTTTCGGCACGTTTCATTATCAGCTGGGTGTCATACAACAGGAAGCCACTGAAGAGAATCAGGCCTCCATAGGTGCTGATGGCGTACAGGCCTGAGCCTAGGGCAGTAGTAGGTGCAAAGAACATACCACCTGCAACGGCAAAATAGAAAACAATATACCATTAGGATTTATCTAGGAGGGCCTATTAAAGTGTTGAGGGTAGCTGAGCTCATGGCGGTAGTAGGTGCTAAGAACATACCACCTGCAACAGCAACATAGAAACAATCAAACATGAGGGTTAATCACGGAGGACCTATTTTACCAATTGTGAGGCAAAAACTCACCAATTGACGCTGCAATGACGACACCGAGTCCCATGGCCAAGGGACCACCAATGTACAGAAACTTCTCGCTAGGTGCACAGGCAGCGACGCAGGACAATCCTGACAAAGTTGAAACAAGATTGGTGTTGTTAACATTAGGGTACATACATTTACACATGTCGGTAAGATCGGGACAAATTCAAGTTGGGTATTCTGAAGTAAACCAAGAATGGAGCAGTTTCAGCACCTGAATTTGAAGTATTTTGGGTTGGGACAGTATTTTCAGTAATAAAATTTGGGGCCCATTTCAAAACTTTGACATATTATTAATTCAGAATATTGAAACAATTCCTGAGAATTATTTTTCATAATTTTTTCAAACTTTTTTGGGACGGGCTGGTAGGGTGGGAAAAAAAATCATGTCTTTTTTTTTAAAACATATGTGTTATGGATGGTACACGAGGAGCGCACCATTCTCACCCACGAACGGCTCGCTACTGAGTGTTTTAACCTACTTGACACCCTCCGTGAATTCCTCATTATTGCTGGAACAAAGGCCTTTGTACAGCTTCATTGTTGAATATGTTAGAATGGGAAAAAAACATTTTTGTTTATGAGAAAAGAACAATGACGTCACATTTTTGTTATTATTTAGTGAGTTTCCTACCTCCATGTTTAAAGCATTTAAGAGAAAGGCAGTGGTCGAGCTGCCACAGTAGCCTAGTGGTAAACGAGATGAGTTATGGATTGAAAGGTGCCCGGTTCGAATCCTGCTACGTCAATTTTTCCAACGACCATTTTTTTTTAATTGCATGGGAAAAAGCAGAACAAAAAAAAACTAAGTGTCTTGCTTCGATTCTGTTAAATTACTGAATAACACATGTGGCTTCATCCACCTACAACAAAAAAATATGTGGGCAGTACGCCATTCGTCAGAAGCTGAATCGCAGGCCGTGCTCCATTCGTGCAAAATAACGGCGAGAAGAAACAATAGTGTGACGTCACAGGAGGGAGTTAATTGCTAGTAATTGTAGTGCCGATATCAATACTGACCTCCAACTACACCAGCCGTGTACCATGCAGCACGGATCAGGAGTTGTCCACCCAGCAGGGTCATGGGGGCTAAGACCGCCCCCAAGAGACCACTATGAGCCAACCACGCCAGCTGTTTCCCTCCTAGGACGCCCTCTGTGTACGGCACTGACATGCAGATAAAGCCTGAGCACATGACCAGACCCATCATGCCCAGTGCACCCTGGGGGGGGGGGGGGGGGGGGAGAGAAGATAAGAAATATAAATCAAGTTATCTCTGAGAACTACACTTATGCTCTTAATGCTGTGCTACCGCTGTGCAAAACTCAATTAATATGACTTTCTGGAATTGGCACGGCGATAGCACGGCATTTTAACCATTGCCAATGTTCGGCACGGCAACATCCTTTTGCTCGACAGGGTCTGCTGTGCTATCGTGGTTCTTAACGGGAGTGGAACGGCACTATTGTAAACGCTGTGCCATTTCCGTGCCAAACTCAATTCAAACGTTTTAGTGGGCAAATGTTTTAGCATGAATACAACAAATGATCTGCATCAAAATGATCGGTAACCACTACAATAAATATATACATGGAGCTGTCAAAATGTAAGAGACCCAACAGACTTTAAATTATTGAAAAGTGACCGTTTTTGTGCTGCAAAAAAATACACCTCTGAAAACTTGACATCCATAAGCAGTATTTTGAATTATCAAAAATTTCCTGAATTTTTCAGAATTTTCATACATATTTCCTTTAAAAGCAGCAATACTGCCCCTGTTGATTTTCTGAAGATTACCATTAATCCACCAAAAAAAATCCAGTGAACAACAAATGACATAAAAACTAATTATCTGTTAGTCAACAGATGACTTAAAAACTAATTATCTGTTGAGAGCGTACACCCGGTGGCAGCTTAGCGGTAGGGCTACTGATCTATGACCAATATCCGAGTAGTAATTCGCTAAGAATTAACAGTAATCTGGACTAGGTAAATACTACCAGTACCTTACGGTTCATGTATATTAGGCCAAAAAAAAAAAAAAATATTCGGTCTCTGGTCAGACGAAAGTTCCGGAATTGACGCGGCTTTTTTTTTTTTTCTTCAAGCTTGGATTGTACAGACAAGGTGGGGTACTATTTTGCTCTTTTGGTGTCCTCATGTACATTGGTGTCCTCCATAATTTGCCTTGGTGCTCTCGATCATTTGCCTTGGTGCAATTTCCCATTCCTTGGTGCTCTTTAGTAAAAAAAAATTGAGGTGTGGGAATAGAGGGCGCTGTTGGAGCTACCGCAGAACATTTTGGAAAAAAAATATATTGACGCGCAAGATTAAAATTGACGCGCACGCTGACCAGAGACCGACTTATTTTGTTTTTTTGGCCTTAGGTTTATTGCTAGCTTCACCAATATGCTTAACCCTAAAGGGGCCGGGTGGGGGGGGGGGGGAGAATCCGCCCCCCCCCCTTAAACTTTTTCCCCGATAGCTTAAAAAAATGTGTTTTTTTGCGACCCGAGCTGTTCTGACTTGTAACCTCAAGCCTTGGGCATCTTTTGATACCAAAAAGAGAGCAGAAAAAAAAAGCAGAGTTACCGTACCATTCGTGCATAAGAATAATTAATTAGCCATAATTCCAAAACCCTTTGACCTATAGTCATGAAATTTCTTGGGTATGTTCATGATGAGTTGCTCTATGCATGTACCAAGTTTCAAATTTTTTTCGTCACTCAACTGCTCAATGGCCGAGATCTTGGGGGGGGGGGGGGGATGAGAGATGATCAAAATAGCCCGGCTCTTTTAGGGTTAATGTACTTCAAATCTTCTGCTACTTAGACATGAACTGTTCCCATCACTTTATGAAAACAACATTCCCTGCATTTTCCCCAATATTTCACTGAGAAAATTCCAAATTTCATGAGAAATATTTTCACAAGGTTGCTGGGAAGTCACGAGGTGGTGTAGCACAGCCAATTGTCATTGTCTGGAGAGGTGTGTAATACTCACACTGCATTAACATTAAAAAGCCACCATAGCCAGTCAGTCAATGAACACAACATGGACACACGGCAAAAAAACCCACACATACCCAAAGTGACGCAAACCTTTCCCTTCTGGGTCACTGTCAAATTCTCTGAGTTTCCCCTGATTTTTGGTGTTTTTCCCAAATTCCCTGGGTTTTCCCTGACAGAAAAAAATAAAAACTCATTTTCGAGGTTTTTCCGGATTTCCAGAGTGGCCTGATGAACTACATGTACTTTCTTTCGAGTTCACTTTTTGGTGCATTTTTCATTTGGTTTTAAGATGGTTAAGAACAAACATTTCAAAATGACTATGAATAAAATGCAAAAATCAAGCCACAGCTGCAAACCAAAGTCGCGAATTGAAAACTGCCTCAACTTGGAGCTTCGACAAAATGATGATTGTTTTGACAGATTTCGAGCAAATAACGCTTAAGTGGCCTGCATCCCTGAAGGCATTCTTAGACGCCGCAATCACACAATCTTGACAAGATTAACATCTGGGAAACAACAAATGACTAATTACTCCTCCAGGGGCAGCAATATTAGCGCGGTATCGCTGGTGGTGGGTCCGTAATTAGACCGTTATCACAACTCCTCGCCAGCTGGGGCACCCAATAATTTGACGCCGTGTTATGAATGTTTACAGGAAATTAATACCGTCCATGACTGACATGTATTTTTACAACTTTCACAGCTGGCTCACGTTTTACGGAAGTTAAAAGATGTGATGCATCACCCGTAACAAATTGATCACATTATTTTTAAGCTTCACTGTAAACCAATTAGCATTTGTACTATGTTCTGTGTCCATTCGTGGTGAAAAAAATATGAATTATTCCTGATTTATTTAAAGCCAGAGTCCATCATTTGCAGCTATCCAAAAAGTAACTGGCGTAATTATTGTTGAAAAACATACTTGGTTGAAAGATAGTAAGGGGACTAAACTCCCTGTCAAATTATTCTTTCTGGCAAGCTGTCATTTTGAAGAAATCAACGAAAGAAGGCCTTTCCAACGGTGCTTCTTAAGAAGCACCGTAGGAAATTCAAATTAGCATGACGCACACGCGGTTGCTATAATTTGTTGGATCAGTGCGCAACATCGCTTAGCTGCAATCGGCTAAGTGAGAACGTGTCGTGAACAGGCCCAACTCAAAACATGATTCAGCAGCTTTTGATTTGAATCGAGATCCTAGAATGTTGTTTTTCTCGAAATATACAGCTGAAGTTGAGCTGAAACTTCATCAGGTTAGTTGTTCAGCACCCTTCTTTAGATCTTGAGCACTTTTGTTGCTTCAAACGAACAAAATGCACAAATTACAAATGATGGACTATACCTTTAAAGCTATAGTCCATCATTTGCAACTATCCAAAAAGTAACTGGCGTAATTCCTGTTGAAAAACATCCTTGGTTGAAAGATAGTAAGGGCACTAAACTCCCTGTGAAATTATTCTTTCTGGCAAGCTTGTCATTTTGAAGAAATCAATGAAAGAAGGCCTTTCCAACGGTGCTTGTTAAGAAGCACCGTAGGAAATTCAAATTAGTACTTCATTTTGTTATTCGGCAAAGCACGCGCAAGCATTGGCACGACGCACACGCCCACGCGGTTGCTATAATTTGTCCGATCAGTGTGCGTCATCGATCATCGCGTAGCTGCAATCGGCTCAGAGAGAACGTGTCTCGGACACTGAACTCAGGCCCAATTCAAAACACGATTCAGCAACCTTTGATTTGAAATCGAGATCCTAGAATGTTGTTTTTCTCAAAATATACAGCTAAAGCTGAGCTGAAACCTCATCAGGTTAGTTGTTCAGCACCCTTCTTTAGATCTTGAGCACTTTTGTTGCTTCAAACGAACAAAATGCACAAATTACAAATGATGGACTATACCTTTAAAGTGACAGCATATCAGTAGCAGAATAGACCCCGCAGGGAGTCTTAAGAACTTGATCCACCCCCATAAGGGAAACGTAATGGAGTTTGAGATTTCAATAGGAACAAAGGAAAACAAAGGAAGGGAAACTAAGGTCTTCCGTGAAGTAAAATTTGACAGGATGCTTGATAGTTGATACTACCGGTATCATCCACGGTACTTTCAATCAAGTATTCATAATTTTTGTGCTTTTCTTTTTGCAGTTTCGGTACAAACCATAGAGCTATATTAAATTACTAGAGCGCTAACTCCTCATTCTGCGCGCGGAGAAGCTTTGAAGCCGTCCTGGGCGCAGGCATTTTGAATTCATGTGCGTGTTTGTAGAACATAATGAAATTAGATGGATTGAATTTTGAAAGTGTGCTCTACATGCAACGTGCAAGTAGAACATACGCAAACAACTTAAGCGCGTCATTGACGGTTAAAAAAAACCGTTACAGCAAAAAGCATCTGCAGCGAATACGCGCACGCGTTGCGCTGTTTGCGTAGAGCAAAATGACACTCTCATTTGCTGATCGTGCGTTTCGGTTTTGGGCGTATTGGCTTCGATAACGCACCGGTATGGAATACAAACGCAGATATGCAAATAGCCGTACAAAAGCCGTACAAACTGTCTAGGTCTCCATAGGTTTGTGCACAAACATGGATGCGCCCAGCAGGCATTACATGTACTTTGTTACTTTTCATACACTGACATTGCCGTTTGAGAAGTTTGTACCTACCACCCATGACTTGGGCATCATTCTGGCCATGATGGCAGGATTCCTGGAGATTGCAATAGCTGAGGCTGCAGTGGATGCGATCCCGACGCCAAAATAGGCATAAGTGGACTGGACCCTCTCCCGTACGTAGTCTGGCCACATGCTGTATTTAGGGATAACAAAGTAGGAATAAAATTGTGATGGAATAAAACAGAATACCAACTGCAAGATGCGTAATACAATCTGTACGTGTATACTGACATGACTGAATAGTTTATATACAGGGTTTTTAAAATGTTTTCTCCGTGAATATTAGATATTACATGTATGTGGATTTGTGTGATCCAAACCTGTGAAATAAGGTCACTAAACAATCTAAAACATGAAAGTTTTGCAAAATCGTGCCAAATGTCTACCTTCAAGGTAACTAGACTACATATGAACATTAAAGGCAATACAAATTAAAAAAAAACACTACTAAATTATTATGAAGTACCTTACTGGACTGTAAGTGAGTAATAGTCTCAAGCATCCTGTGAAATTATGGCACCTGGTGTGCTGACGTTTTCAAGAGAGGTGGAATTTTTGTGTCAATTTCCAATGATGGTCGGCCGACAATCGTTGGAAAAACTGTTTTTTTTTCCTTCAAATACTGCCCCCAAGGTGCCAAATTTAGTTAGTCCACATTTTGTTCGCAATTTGGTTACACAACCGTGACTGGGAGAAAGCCAGCTAGTCTGGCTCCCTGACCTAGCTCCCTGACATCTATAAATTGCTCCGTCTCACAATGGAACGAGACTACAATGTACAAGAACAGCATTTGTTTTCTTGGTTTTCCCCCATCTTTGAACACAAAACTTCAAACAAGTCTTAGTCAGTGTAACAAAATTTGCTATAAAATACTAACCCCCAAATCCATCAATTTCTGAAAATTACAACAAAAGCAAATGTTGTACACATGTATATTACATTTAAAGAGTACACATAATGATCAGGTACAGAATTTTTTTTTTTTTAATTCAAGTCAACTTTCACTGATCTGTGATATGTAAGGACATCAGTTTGCTAAGTACATGTACAAACACTCTTGCAGGAAAATACTCTAAAACTTTCAAATGGCCAATTTATGATTCAATTTATTGTCCTCTAGGATTCAATGTCCCTGAAGTAGAAAATGGGTCCAATTATTTAGCCATATAGTTCTCTAAGCCAGGGAATTAAAAATGGAGGTTTTGAAAACCATAAAGGATGGATGCGGTTGAGCAATATGACCGGTCAACCTTGTCTCCAGGGAATTATGACCTGTATATTACCCCTCATGTGTAATTACAATCAACCTTGTAACCATATGTTCAATGATCCATGAGTTATCCTCACACACAATTATAGCGTTCTCAATTAGCTTGCTTGCGCCTAACAGGCTGCATCGAGCTGCATACTCCCCAGGGAGCTGAGATGGTATTTGGAATGTTTCATGTGCCCAATGAGTAGGGGAAATAATGATGTAGCGCCTTGAGCACCAGTCTTGGTGGATATGTGCGCTTTATAAATATCCACTATTATTATTATTATTATTAAATTCGAGGTTGATGCATGCAAAATAAAAAAAACCTATACACAATATTTATTAAATGGTCTGTGACAGACTTAAAGGGAAAATACAACATTTGCAAACATCGAAAAATAAAACTACCGAGTTGTTACGAAATACCTTACTAGGATGTTGGTAAAGGACAGTCTAAAGCATCCTGTAAAATTATGGCACCTGGTGTGAAGTCATTTTCAAGAAAAATGGTACTTTTGTATACATTTCCAACAGTGGTCGGCCGACCACCGTTGGAAAAACCTAACTATTTTTCAACTACTGCTCCATATTTACCATTGTTTTTTTTCAGTCCAAATGTTGTTTGCTATTGGTTCCATGTTCATGAACGGGTGCAGGCCAGGCTAGACTGGTTCCCTTACCTTACAGTTTTCTGGCATTTTTGATCCATTTCATTTTAGTGGAGTCAGGGAACCAGACTACTTGAAACCTTTTGTTTTTCTTGGTTTATTCCAGCATTTTCGAATGCAAAACTTCAAACATGTCAGTGTAACAATATTTGATCTATTATACTAAGGCCAAAAAAAAAAAGTCTCCGGTTTCTGGTATGGAGCTTGCCCAAAAAGTGGTGCGGCGACGCGGCTTTTTTTTTTTTTTTACCTGACTTTTTTGCTTCAAATGTCGGCTGATGACTGCAAATGGTGCCTGACTAAACTTAGTGCAAAATGTACGGGAGTCCAGAGAGTCCACGTAAAGCTTATTCTCGATCATACCCCCATCTAAAAACACGTTAAAATTGTGCTGCAGCAGGATTCCAGTCAAACCAGTGAGTTTGGCGGTTTTGAGACATCATCTTTTATTGAAAAAAAAACTTTTTCATTTTGCCGACGCGCATGGCTACGGCGACGCGCGCGCATACCAGAAACCGGAGACTTTTTTTTTTTGGCCTAAACCCAAAATAGTTCGTTTCTGAAAATTACAGCAAAAGCCAGTGATGTACATTCTCTTTAAGATCCGTGAAAGTTTAAATCCGTTTCTCCGGTGACTCCGATTTGGATGGAAGGCCCTCCTCTGAATCCGCCATGCATGGCTGCGGCTTTGTTTAAATGTCAATCACATGTTACAGTGATAATCCATAGCCTTTAAGCAAAAGGGCCTGTTTGGACAGTACTTAATAATTTTCAAAAAATATCCCTGTGTTTTTAAAGGGAATGTAGAACATTTGCAAACATCAAAAAAATAAATGACCAAATTATCACAAAATACTTTACTGGACTGCCAGGGGATGGCAGTCTGAAGCATCCTGTAAAACAATGGCTCCTGGTGTGCTCACATTATCAAGTAAAGTGATATTTTTGTATCAATTTCCAACGCTGGTCGGCCGATCAGCGCTGGTAAAACTGACTTTTCTTCAAATACTGCTCTTATTTTTTTTATATTTAGTTATTCCACATTGTCTCAGCAATTGATTACACATCTTCTAAGGGGTACAACTGATTCTCTGACCTTACAATTCCCCAACATCTACAAATTGCTCTGTTTCATTTTAAGTGCGGTCGGGGAACCAGACTACAAGAACACGATTTGTTTTCTTGATTTTCCAGCAACTACGGACCCAAAACGTAAAATAAGTCAGTATAAAATGTTTTGCTATAACATACTGACCCCCCAAATCCATCCATTTCTAAAAATTGCAGCAAAAGCAAATAATGTACATTCCCTTTAATGAACACCAGAGTTCTAGTTATTTTCTTGCATGTCCTCACAGGTACATCACAAGTCCTCTCGTCTCTAATCAGTGATCAGTTTCTCGTTGTTTATCGCCTGTTACTTGTGATATTTCTTTTAATTTGACTTGTGATTTGACTTGGGACGGACTTGACTACACCTGGCATTTGAGGAATAACTCCCAGCAGTTGACTTTTTGAGTTTTATATACCATGTTAAAGGGAATGTACAACATTTGCTTTTGCTGCAATTTTTTTAGAAATAAATGGATTTGGAGGATTAGTAAGTTATAGCAAATATTGTTAAACTGACTTGTTTCACGTTTTGGGCTTGTAGTTGTTGAGAAATCAAGAAAACCAATCATGTTCTTATAGTCTGGTTCCCTGACCCCACTTAAGATAAAACAGAGCAATTTATAGACTTTGGGGAATTGTAAGGTCAGAGAATCAGTCTAGCAGGCTTGTACCGGTACCTCTTCACATAAGTGTGTAATCAACTGAAAAGAAAATGTGGAATAACCAAATATGAAAACTTAGTAGCTCTTTTTGAAAAAAAAGCCAGTTTTTGGAGAGAGCCAGCGTTGGAGAAATACAAGTTTTCTTGAAAATGTCAGCACACCAGGAGCCACGATTTTACAGGATGGTTTAGAAGTGTCATTCCCAGTCCTTCTGATTTGAGGCGTGGGATCACACCCCCACACCATCGCACACCTAAAAGCTTCCTGAGAAGTGCGAATAATTGCACGCCTGAATTTCCCTGGACCACAGATCACACACCTAGAAAACCACACACCTAGAAAAAACACACACCTAGAGAAATTCAGGTGTGCCTTTTTCCACACGCCTGTGATTTTCAAATCAGAAGGCCTGCATTCCCTGAAGGGCCAGTGAGGTATTTCGTGATAATTTGATAATTTGCTGTTTTGATGTTATAAAATGTTGTATCTTCCGTTTAAAGAGCAACTCTTTAGCTTTGTAATGACACCAAATTTATTTCTGTAGCTTAAATAATTCCAAAGATATGCTGGGAGAAAGTCAGTAGTGCGCTAAGTGTGAGTTAATAAAACACATTTCTCTCTAGAGATTGAATGGTAGAAAACGACTTCACCTAATGATGCAATCAAAACCTTTTTCCATCAGTCATGTCATGCACACCATGATAAAACAGTGTCAAACGCAAGGTACATGTATTCAAAGGGCCCATGAAATGCAATTTTTTTAAATGTAATTCTTGAAAATGCACCTTTGTGTCCCATTTAACCTTATTTTCAATTTTCATTATGCTGTTTTCAAGGGAATTTTGGTGCCTTTTTGGTTTTTATGCTAATGCAAATTTCCATATTAATGAGCAAAAGCGTGATGTCATATCAGGCAGAAACCTCACTGTTGCAAGTGGTTTGTGCACAAAAAGTTTTCAGAAGTTTGGATATTTTGCTGTTGAAAATTTTCTCTTTTTTTTCGGTGATTCGTTGTTGTGTTAGTACATGGCATGGCAGTAAGCCAATGAGCGAACCTTTCTCATCAATTTTATCGATAAGCAGATTTTTGGGGTTCACATATGTACACAAAGCCATTTAACTGAACAGTGTCTCCCTGAAATGACATCACGGCAACAGCGCCCTCAGTTGTCCAAAAAAAAAACATACACAAATTTGAATGTTTAAAGAAGTGCACTTTTGAATAAAATAAACCAAAAAAGGGATGTCAAATAGTTTTCATACATTTAAGAAGAGTAGAAAGTAGCACGAATTGTGTTTCTCTGAAAAATTCATTTCATGGACACTTTTAAAACATTTCCATGTCCTGTTTGTGTAACATTAGTAATCAATAAAAAATATATTCCCAAACCAATAGAAGTTCATTTACATGTAGTTGGGCCTTTTTTGGTTACAGTTGAGTCACTTAATTTTAAGGGTTGATCCCTGAGAAAAAAATCCACCCTAAATGACTTTTATATAAGAGTACAGAGTTGAAAGAAGACCACCCTCCAAATGTAACGTGAGTATACCGTGGAATTGCCCAAATGATAAAAACACAAAGTTCGACCTCCAAACTCCGAGTCATTTCCGATATGAGACCTTCCTTTTTTCTTATGATCTGCGGGCCTACTGCTTCCAAATTGTATTAATCGGCTTCGGCGCACTGTTATTAACGCTCGTTATTTTCACCACAGCGGCTTATAAGTTTGTGATGTGATTGCCAGCATCTAGCACTTGAATGAAATGAATATCACCACAGAGGACATTTTCATTATCTAGTGCGATTGACAATACAGTCCCATGGCGCCGTCGCGCCAACACTCGGCTCAGAAAATTGACACTGCTTTATTCATGACTTCATCTTCATTTCCTTGGACTGAGGTCTTTCTAAAAAGCTGTTAAAAATTCACAAGGTCTTGGGAATCAAAGGCAGATTAAAATTTAAGTGGAATTATCTCCAGGGGGAAGGGGTAATTCTGTCACATATGTGACTTCAATGTCTTCAGTTTTTCCTTGTCAATTTATTTCCAGTGAAAAGTTTAGCATGAAACATTTCGAAATATGCCTCCGAAGCAAGGGGTGTGCATTTACGGGTAGTACAGGGATCGAGAACCCGATTGAAAAAAAACAACACAGCTACCTGGGTTAAAGAAACCCAACGCCAAACATGCTAAATTTAAAAACCTCTGAAGTTGCTGTTGAGATTGTTTACAATGATCCGCACAGCAATACTACCGCATCGGCGCATCAATACGACAAGATACAAGTGTGTACAGTGAGCTTAGCTTTACGGTGTAAACTGCAGCTTTTGTGAGCGTCACAAATGTGAAATATGCTTTGTTTTTCCCATATGGCCTGGTTTTTATTTTGAAAATTCCCCACAACTGACATTCGAAAGCTTTCTTTTTCATCGTCTGAGAAGTAATTTGTCAACTTCAAATCCCTGCACAATCCTTTGGCGTCATTAAGCTCAGGGTAAGCAGGCAGATTCAGTCACGCTTCACTGCTCTCCACAGTGCTGTTTTCGTGTGTGCAGTGATACTCTGTGTGACACAGAATCACTTTGAAGGGAATGCACAACATTTGCTTTTGCTGCAATTTTCAGAAATGGATTTGGACTTTGGAGGGTTCGACTACTATAGAAAATTTTGTTAAACTGATTTGTTTCATGATTTGGGCTTGTAGATGCTGGAAAAACTAAGAAAACCAATCATGTAGTCTGGTTTCCCGACCCCACTTTAGATGAAAGAAGCAAGTTATAGACATCGGGGAATTGTAAGGTCAGAGAATCAGTCTAGCAGGCTTGTACCCCTTCACAGGTGTGTAATCACTTGCAAAGAATATGTGGAATGAATAATTAGGAGCAGTTTTTGAAATAAGCCAGTTTTCTCCAAAGCTGGTCAGCCGACCAGCGTTGGAAAAATAAAAGTTTTCTTGAAAATGTCAGCACACCAGGAGCTACGATTTTACAGCATGCTTTAAGCCGTCATTCCCTAACAATCTAGTCAGGTATATCGAAATAATTTGATCAGTTTGTTTTTTGATGTTTGCAAATGTTGTATCCTCCCTTTAACACTTCATATCCCTTCACCTGAAACTGACCTGCGGGGTTTCAAAGGGTTTCACATATTGCTCTGAATATTGACTTCCCACTAGGAGGGACAAACTTGACCTTGGAAATACATTTTTAATCAATTTGCAAAGGGACTTACGCGGCTCGTTCCAAGGCGCCGACATCTTTGGACATGCCAAGGCCATAGTAGCACAACGCACCGATGCCAACTGCCGCTGCACCTGCCAAAGCGCCCCGCCCGACACTGATAGCTGGGGCAATCATCAAAAGGGGAAAAAACAACAGGTGTTACCAGTAGGTAACAATCATTTGTGGCAAGATGCTGAGAAATTAGTCTTTAGGACATGTTTTATATAATTTTTTTTTAATGGGGAATTCAATGAGAAAATGGACATGGCTGTGAAGTAGAAAATTTAAAGGTATAGTCCATCATTTGTAATTTGTGCATTTTGTTTGTTTGAAGCAACAAAAGTGTTCAAAATCTAATGAAGGATACTGAACAACTAACCTGATGAAGTTTCAGCTCAGCTTCAGCTGTATATTTCGAGAAAAACAGCATTCTAGGATCTCAATTTCAAATCAAAAGTTGCTGAATCATGTTTTGAATTGTTTTGAATTGCAGCTATACGCGATGTCGCGCACTGATCTGACGAATTATAGAAACCGCGCGCACCTGTGCGTCGTTCCAATGCTTGTGCGCGCTGCGCCGAATAACAAAACGAACAACTACATGTAATTTAAATTTTTCCTACAGTGCGTCTTAAAACGCACCGTTGGAAAGGCCTTCTTTCGTTGATTACTTCAAAATGATAGCTTGCCAGAAAGATTAATTTCACAGGGAGTTTAGTCCACTTACAATTTTTCAACCAAGTATGTTTTTCAACAATAATACGTCAGTTACTTTTTCGGGTGGCTGCAAATGATGGACTATAGCTTTAAAGAAATCTTCAGAACTACAAGCATCACAACCTCAAATGTGGTATCAAATGAAAGGGGACAACAAGGCATTGCATTTGACTGGTGTGCAGGTGAGATAAGTATTGCCAGCTATAAGTATTGCTTCTTATTGGAAAAAAAACTATTTCTGGAACCTAAAATCATAGATATGAGGTAGACATTTTGGATTTTGGGGCCAAAAAGTGAATTTTGTTGATGATGCTGAATATGGAAAATATTTCAGGTCTGGGGGCATTTGGTAAAAACAAAAAATCTTGGTTTTCTCACTGGATACTGACCGTAGCGAACTGAAATCTTCAGGGGACTCAGTTCTGGCCTCTAGGTACCTTGTGTAAACTTTTGAGAAAAATTTGCTGAAGTTGGAGGTTTGGGTCCAAATTGACTTTTTTGATAATGCAGGATATTGAAAACTTTCAGATTCGGGGGCATTTGGTAAAAACGTTAACGAAAAAAAAGAAAAAAGGGGCCGCCTCCTTTTTTCCCCAAAAATTTGGACAAGTAACTTTTTTTTAATGGGCCTTGGTTTCCATACCTGATCCATCGGCTGGGGTAGCGGCCATTTCCTTCAAGGTTTTTGATTTTGCTGCTCTCTTGGCCGCGATTCTGCTCGGTTGGCTTGCATATCGCAGGGCGGGTACCACAACACTGACTTTGGGTCGCAAGCAGGTAGCCACGCCCCTGCCTACCGTGGGGGCGGAAACACAGGCAACCAGGGGGAGTTTGATGAAGATTCGCGACGCTAACATGACGACTGTCGAGTGAATTACGACTCACGGGTGCCACTAATAATACTCGAAAAAGGAACCTGTCAAAAGAATAAATTACAAAATGAAGGCCAATAAGAAACTAGCTGAGCTGAGCCCTTGCAGAGTTAATTAATGTACATGATTTATGGACGGATTATCTGCAAAACCATTACAGATCGTTCCTTAGCCTGTTGAGTGATTAGATTTTCAGAATCATCTGTCATATGCTTGTGTGGCAAGCATTATGGATAACCAAGGACTGAAACAATCACCGACGAATCTCAGCCGTGAGAATAGGCACAAGAAATGTCATTTTACCTGTTTATAGTTGACACTCCGGAGTTCGTAATGTGGTAACTATTTAGTGAAACTTTCATGGACTATTTAATAATGCATCTTAACAGCGTTTGACCGTCTAGTTTCCTGACCCGACTTGACAATATTTAATGCCGGGATCTTTGTGTCTTAGCACCTACATGCATCGACCGAATGGTTCTCGGACTTACAATGTAATTACCCTTTTTAAAGAAACTCCTCCAAAGCCACGGCTCACTATGAAAACAAATTAAATCTGGGCCCACTTCAACAGAAAGTACTAGGATTTGATAAAAAAAAACATAAAAGCAAATAACACTATTAAAAGTAAAATTAGGGGGCGGGGCATGGAGGTACAATTCGCCTACATCCCCATGTCAGTACCAGCAGTCATCAGCTACAAACTCAAGAGCGGTTCATTCAAGCCCTTCAGAATGGGGCAATCTAACCCGATATCTTAAAGGGAAAATACAACATTTGCAAACATCAAAAAATAAAACTACCAAATCATTTTGAAATACCTTGCTGGACTGTTAGTGAATGACAGTGTAAAGCATCCTGTAAAATCATGGCACCTGGTATACTGTCATTTTCAAGAAAAGTGGTATTTTTGTATCAATTTCCAACGCTGGTCGGCCGACCAGCGTTGGGAAAAAAACTGGCTTTTTTCCTTCAAATACTGGCCCCAATTGACCATCGCACTTGTTTGCAATCGATTACACACCATGATGAACAGGTACAAGCCAGCTAGACTGGTTCCCTGACCTTACAATTCCCCAATGTATGTAAACTGCTGTTTCTTCTTAAATGGAGTCAGGGAACCAGACTACAGGAAAATGATTGTTTTTCTTGGTTTTTATAGCATTTTCGAACCCAAAACCTCAAAAAAGTCAGTGTAACTATATTTGCTATATATTTCCAACCCCCCAATTCCATCCATTTCTGAAAATTACAGCAAAAGCAAATGATGTATATTCCCTTTAACGCCATCAATAAGGTATATAACAACTTGCTTTAGCTACATTGTTACTTACTACTTAAATTTACTACTTTAAATATGGTAACAATTTCTTTTCTCTTTAATATTCACAACTACTACCATCACCAAAATCTTGCAATATTTGGCAGATCACCTGCTTATATTATCATTTCAATGTCTTCTTAAGTCACCGAATATTTGGGGTTTAGTGCGTGTAATTATAACAAAATAATGTGTGAATTTATGATCATTGTCTACCCTAGTAAACACATCATCTTCCATATTTCATTGGTAATGAAACATGTTCATAGTTTCAGTATCTTGTTTAATACACTGAAACGTTGCTGTGCACAGCTGTGCACAGCTGTGGACGTCCTTCACTAGCCCTTAGGCCAAAAAAAAAAGTCTCCGGTTTCTGGTATGGAGCTTGCCCCAAAAGTGGTGCGGCGACGCGGCTTTTTTTTTTTTTTTACCTGATTTTTTTGCTTCAAATGTCGGCTGATGACTGCAAATGGTGCCCGACTAAACTTAGTGCAAATATATGGGAGTCCAGTGAGGCCACATAAAGCTTATTCTCGACCATAACCCAATCTAAAAACACGTTAAAATTGTGCGGCAGCAGGATTCCAGTCAAACCAGTGAGTTTGGCGGTTTTGAGACATCATCTTTCATTGAAAAAAAAACTTTTTCATTTTGCCAACGCGCATGGCTACGGCAACACGCGCGCGCGCATACCAGAAACCGGAGACTTTTTTTTTTGGCTTAGTAACAGCTTTTATTCTGGCCCATTTCGTTCCATCAATGTCTTATTGTAATTTAAATACTTATGTCTAGTTCTAGCAGTAGCTATTTAAGCGACAGCAGTAGTTTCAATGAAAGTTTAAGTAGTACAGACTCACACCATTCATCAGATAGTGATGTCATAAATCGCCTCAACGATTACGTCTTTAATCCCGTACCGTTGGATACTGAATACGCTGAATTCCTGCAAAGTACATGCGGGTCTAAAATACCTTAGTGAAGAACAGGTGCAATCCAAATATACTAGGAAAGGTGATTCCTTTTCGTTGTATCACCCAAATGTAAGAAGTATAAATAAAAATGTTGATTCCCTGCAGCATTCGCTTTTAGAAATAAGGCACGAATGTCAAATTATCGGCCTTACTGAAACATGGCTGAAGTCAGACCCTGATCCCCTATTGGGCATGCCAGGTTATAACATTGAGTTTAAAGGGAATGTACATCATTAAGTAAGATTTGAGGCTTTGCATGGTGGAGATACTAAATAATGAAAGGTTTGCGGAAACACCATGTGCGAATAATTTCTCAACTAAGAGAATGGTTCTGAAAAGAACCAGAGGTATAAACTCGACGTTCCGGTCAGTATGCTCTGACCGTCTTCAGGAGAGTGCCTAAACTCTAAGAAAGTGAATACTTAAGTAGCAAGAGGCGAAGTCAATGAAGTGTTCCCATGTCACTAATTATCGTCCCATATATGTCTTGCCATGCTTCTCAAAATTGTTAGAAAGGTTAGTTGCAAACTGTCTTGGAAAAAAAAAATCTCTAGATTTAACATACTGTCACAATCTCAGTATGGCTTCAGGGCCAAATATTCAACTGAACTTGCCTTGATTGATTTAGTTGATAAAGTAACATCTATCCTGGACAAACGTGAGCATACAATTGGCATTTTTCTGGACCTTTCTAAGGCATTCGATACTATAGATCATGATATTCTAATTAGTAAACTACAAACATCTATGGTGTAAGAGGTACTGCACTCAAATGGTTTAAAGATTACTTGAGAAATAGGAAACAATTTGTTGTCTGGCAAAATAAAAAGTCCATTTACAAACCAATCACCTGTGGTGTACCCATCTTATTGTATATTGTGCCGTATTTTACAGGAACTGGAAGCCTAACAAGTAGGCCCTAAGTGATTTGCCTATGGGCAAAATTGTACATGGTTATTTGTAGCGGATCAAAAGATATAATGATTTCGCTTGTATTTACGCGAGGGAAGCGCGTGGCGTTGGTGACATATCAGGTGACATATCTAGTAATTTGGAGGCCGTTTTGAAGGTGAAATCTGATGTTTTTTGTTGGAAAATGTTGGTTTTTGGGACTGTGTTGTCTAGGTCTCGGTATTAGCTTGGACCTTACTATCGCCAGACCATGTCCAAATGTTAAAAAAGGCGATAAGTTGGGTCCAAGTTACTCGGACTATTTATGAATATGAATATGATTACTATTACTTGTATTAGGCCTACTAATACTATAATTATAAATAGTTTAAAGTTAAGGCCTACGTACCTTCCCCTCAAAAACGTTCTCCCTTTTGATATGGACACAAGTTTTAGGAAAGTCACCACTTACTATTATTGCATCATTTAATAATGTAACATCAACAAATTAAGCGACAAAGTCACGCATGACCTGTGAGACTTATTGCATGATGGCTGCGACAATTGTTGAGTCTGATACCTTTTATTATGAGCGCTATATTATCACTGTCAGGAGTGGCGTTATCAGACTGACAGACTATTATTAAACTGGTAGCCTACACTTTCTTGTTTTCATTATTTGGTGTGGTTCCAGATCAAGTGATTGTTGACATTATTAAAGGGGTCAATTTTTCTTAGGAACACATTTTGTGCAACTTTCTACTACAGTCTGAAATGTATGAAAACTATTTGAAATCCCTTTTTGGTTCATTTCACTGAAAGTACACTTCTTTAAACATAAAAAAAATCCATGTTCTGTTTGAACTTCGACAATAGATCAATCAGGGATGCAGAAGCAGACAGTAACTTAGTCTGGTTCCCAGACCAAAAGATTCCGACTATTCCTGATGAATCTTAGACGTGTAGACGTCGGGGGAAATTGTCAGGTCGGGGGACCAGACTAACAGTAACTGACACTAGATGGCGCTGTTCACAATTAATAACTGAGGCCTCATCATTTTCGACCGTGCGCACACGGTCACGTACGTACGTTGACCGGAGATGGTGCGTACAAGCCCGGGGGCCGCCCCACGCGAAAATCACGCTGCGCTATATCAGATCAGCGGCAAGAAGTGCAACATTCTCGTCAAGCACTTCTTTACAGTGACGAATATTTTCAATTTCTCGAAAATGGGTATTCAATTGTTTATTTTTAATTTCGGCTAAAAAAACCCCACGATACCCGGAAAATATTCTTCTTGGGTAGAAAAATGGCGTCAAGTTGATCATGTATTGTTGATGTACCCTAACGTGGCGCGGCCCCTAACGTGGCGCACTTTGATTTTTCGCCTGTAGCGCCTAGCTAGAGCAAAAGTTTTAACTGAAATTTCACAGAAAGTGAAATTTCATCAAGTTCTAAACACTCCCGTTCATAAATTGCGAGTTTATTTACCCGCTACAAAGTTAAAAGAAAAAATTATTTTGGCGTGATTTTCCGATTTTATTTTCAAGTGCAAAGTGAAACCTTTGAAAATGCCCCGAAAAATAAGAAAATAATTTTCTGACAAACATCTGGCTGGGTTTGTAAGTTAAGATAATAATGATTTATCAGAATTTATCAAGTTTACAGAAATTCTTAAATGTTAATTTGGAATTTTCTGAGATTTATTCAAGTGCGCCACGTTAGGGAACACTCCGCCAATTTGTGCCCAATTTCCGGACGCGACCGTTTTTGCATTTCGGATTAAATTTTATGAAACCGAAATTGTTCACAGAGGTTAAATAGCAAGCATTAAAAAGGTAAAAGTACCAGTATTTCACTGCATGAATTTGAGGTTTATCAACAAAGAGGTTTGGCAACACTACACGAGGAAAGTTGGGTAAGCTTCGAAGTGCGCCACGTTAGGGAACACGACTATAGCGTTTCATTACTAATCCCTGAAACTTTTAAACAATGTCCAAAATTGCACATGGGAGATGATTGTTGACCATAAGCCAACTATAGGGGTCGATTGTCACGAAGGCAATATTATAGATTGCCTACAGCAAAACGGATCGACATAATCACTCGGATGTTGTTGTAGGAAATGAAGGAACAAGGGCAGACAATAATTAACTGCTTTGATGACGAAAGGTCAATTATTTAGGGTTGATAAACCAGCTGCCAGTACAGAAAAAAAACCTCTTGGATTTTTTGTGACACTTCACCTGCCACGAAAAGCTAAAGCGCTTGCGTCAAGCATGCCTGACACCACTATGACCCGGCAATATTTTCATATCATTATGCCGCGCAGTAATCCACGGCCTAAAAACTAGCGTATTAGTGTAAAGCAAATTCTATTTAATTACTGGAAGGTCACCGTTGTACAATGTATATGTTAAAATCGTCCGTCCGTTCAAAACGTTTAAATGCAGCTGAACATAATTGTGTGCAAACAAAAAAATTTCACTCGGGCTGAATTAAGCTAAATTGTCTCCCGGGAAGATGAATTTACATGTATATATTAAAACAGCTGTTAAAAGGTATAGGATGGAGGAGGTGGGCCTTTTAGGACCTTCGAAATATAGCCTGGAGTCTCGCAACAATTGTGAAATTGAAAAGAAAAACCATGACAGCTGATCTTCAGGCCTTACACTTGAATGTTTGTATTGAAACAATACAAAATGAACAAAAGTAATTACGATCAAGGTTTTAAAATGGTTTAACGGTACAAGAGCTGTATCGGAATCCGCCTCACACATTTTCCCCAGATATTCACCGTCAGTCACACCATTTTTACGCTAAAATATTTTTTTCTCGCCAAAGTCTTGAAAGCGCAGGAATGAAACTTTTCTTTAATTTTGACTGGGAACAGTGTAAAAAAAAAAAAAAAAAACTTAACTTGATCAAAAATAGGATTGATGATAAATCTTTTGTCAAATTTTGGATTAACCCCCCACCTAGTCTATGTAATAGACCTGTCACCACGGCGAATGCCGTGGTCTATTATCTGTGAGCAGATTCGCTGATTAATTAGGCAAGACAACCGACTCTTGACCTTCTAGATATTTGACCAATCAGTGAGAGCCTTCTATATCGGGTCTTCGGTCTTTCACCCGTGGTGCGTCATAGACAATGGATTAAAAAAAATGTGTCACGCGCTCTGTATCATGTTACGCGCTATCGCGCGGCTGTTGTTGTATTACAAAACACTTCATTCAAATTGACCAATCAAACCATTTAGTCCCGATTTAGGAATGAAATGACGTCACGATTTAGTAAAGTCGACTCCGATTGGCTGGCGCGCGGCTTGCATAAATTTGCATGTCAGGAGATGTCAGACGTTCTCCAGGAATTGGCTCCGTGGATAACGGGTGATACTCAGACTACCCCCAACCCGGTCTACGTGCAAAGATAGAACAACCCCAGGTTTTATATTCAGTATTAAAGGGAAGATACAACATTTGCAAACATAAAAAAACCTCAAATGATCAACTTATCACGAAATATCTCACTGGATTGTTAGGGAATGACAGTCTAAAGCGTCTTGTAAAATCGTGGCTCCTGGTGTGCTGACATTTTCAAGAAAAGTTTATTTTTCCCAACGCTGGTCGACCGACCAGCGTTGGAAAAACTGACTTTTTTTCAAAACGTGCTCCCAATTTTTCATATTTAGTTATTCCGCATTTTATTTGCAATTGATTACACACCTGTGAAGGGGTACAAGCCTGCTAGACTGATTCTCTGACCTTACAATTCCCCAATCTCTATAAATTGCTCCGTTTCATCTAACGTGGGGTCAGGGAACCAGACTACAAAAACATGGTTGGTTTTCTTGGATTTTCCAGCATCTCCGAACCCAAAACGTGAAGCAAGTCAGTTTAACAATGCTATAACATACTTATCCTCCTATCCACTTATTTCTGAAAATTGCAGCAAAAGCAAATGGTGTACATTCCCTTTAAATTGAATAATTTAATATTACATTTGATACAATTGTTCAAATGAGAAGCATTACAATTTTGTTCCATCATTTTGAAAATGAATGTTTGTTTTAAATAACACGGTTTACGGTTTACAAGTATACAACGTACACGTCACAACCCGCACACTCTCGTGAATTGGTTACAAATATTGTTATTGTAAAATAACAAAATAAAAACAATAAAATATCCAGACAGACGTAATTAGAAACCGTGTTCATGCGTGACAGTTGCGTGAATAATGATGTTGCCTTGAAAAACGAATCCATAGGCGTGATGTATTTTATTATAGTTTATTATGCTAATTTAGATCGAGGCGGAGTGGCGTTCGTTGAAAACATTTATTCATTTGCACACCAGTTTTCTTTGGTTGATTTGTATTTTATACTATTCAGCACTCCAGACTCAAGAACCATTGAATTTCAAGAGTATAGGTCTGGGAGCTAGATATACGCCAATGTCAAGAAAAAATATCCCCGGATGTCCGCGTCTATGATCGCTGTCGTGTAATTATTGCCGTAACTCGTAACATGCAGTCCAGTTCCAACTGGAGCGGAAAAAACAATAGGTCTTCAACTTTGTTTATCTGTCATGTCTAAAACAAAGATATATAATCATCTCATCTTTCATCGTTAATCTTTTATCGTGCGTTCTGAAAGACCCTTGTCTGATTAAATAATATCAGTTCGAGTTGATAAAAATAAGACACGTGGACGAAAAGACCTTGAGGCACTTATTAGCAATTGGATCGTGTATAAATCATGTGTAGGAGTGATGATATGCAGTAGTATAAAAGCAGCCACCTGCAGTAATTATCAACTACAAGGCGACTTGCTGTGACGATTAAAGCTCGTTGGCCCAGAAATCATCGGTCATTCGTGGCAAGTAATTAAATAACACGGTAGAGTCACCCGGAACCAGTCTAACTTGGTAACTTCCCGGCGCGCGTGTTTAATATAAAAAAAAAAAAAACACCTCCCCGCATGTTATCGGTATGGCAGCGTACGTGGCTATCGGCGTGTACCTCTGCGCTGTCATAATCGTTGGTTTCGTCGGCAATGTTCTTGTCATCGTCGCCTTCTGCAAATTCAAGAAGTTGCGGACGGCCAACAACTGCCTGATCATGAATCTCTCGGTGAGCGATCTGGCAATGGCTGTGGTCGGCACCCCGATGTCGTGCTCAAGCAGCTTCGCCGGCCGGTGGCTCTACGGTCAAGGTGGGTGTTCCTACTACGGGTTTATTAACTATTATTGCGGCTGCATCTCGCTCAACACCTTCGCGGCGATATCCGTGTATCGGTATATAGTGATTATGAGGTATGGACCCAATAGACGCTTCACGGTGACAATGATTCTGAAAGTTATCGCGGCGGTTCATGTGATCACACTAATCTGCACCACCCCTCCCTTGTACGGCTGGAACGAGTTCATCTTGGAGGGATTCAAGACTCAATGTGACATCAACTACCGCGACAAGTCGCCTCTCTTCGTGTCTTACATAGCCTTCATGTTCCTGGCTCTGTTCTTCGCACCTCTCGGCATCATCGTGAACTGTTACTGGCGGATCTTCACTTTCCTCCACCGGCGGACCCAGGAGCACATCTCCCAGTCCGTGTCCCTCCAGCTCCGGAACTCGGCCCGCACCATGGAGAAACGGACCACCATCATGATGCTGGTCTGCCTGAGTTTCTTCCTCCTAGCCTGGACTCCATACTGCTTCGTGTCCCTCTGGAGTCTCTTTGGGGACCATCGAGACATAACTCCTCCAGTGTCGGCCGCCCCGGCTCTGGTCGCCAAGTCATGCATCGTGTTCAATCCCATTATCTACGGGGTGATGAGTCCTCAGTACAGGCGATCCTTTCAGGTAAGAGCCTTGGGAAGACCGAGTAAATTTTTAATCAAATTTGTCTTAACAATTACCGTGCAATTACTTACATGGCCGGACCCGTGAACCGGGTACCGTACGAGGTGGTATAAGTATATAGGAGATGGGCCACCCCTCCCCGCTGTACACGTGCGCGCCTCGCCTTGTGTGCCCCCCTCAAAATTGGGGAAAAGGCAAAAATTATAGATTTTTAATTGCTTAAAACCCCACTGAGTGCCCCTCAAAATATTGCCTCCACTAGTACTATACGATAATCCACCTACAGGTTGTGATGTCTCATATCATGTCATTGAGCATGGCATTATATTTTAATCACCTCAGTACATTGTATGTTTAACCAATTACGAGAAAAGCAGTGCAAAAGTCTGAAGTACATATTGAAGTATACACATCAGCTCAGAAATTCCCGACAATTAGAGAAAACTAACAAACAAACAAATACAACAAAACCTAAACATCAACAGCAGAAAGCACTCAGAGAGCGCAAAGGCTCCGCCAAGGCTAAAATAATTCCCCGCCATATTGTCAGTACACCCAAAAGAAATACTCGCATAAATGGTGAAGAATCCTTTTTAAAAAATCATGGATCCAGACCCAGATCCGGATCACTTCCAAAATCCATTCGATTTGTATTTGTACAAAGGACCACCCCTCAACAAAGTGTCATGCAAATCCGTCCATAAGTTTTTGAGTTATTTGTTAAATAGATAAACCAACCAACAAACAAGCTAACCAAATCCGACGAAAACACATAACCTCTTTGGCAGAGGTAATAACGAATCGCATGCAAATATTTTCTGACGCGTGAAATCCTGAATTTCACCAAATGTAGCCTTTAATTTGGCCGCTTTGTTTCACAATCCACAAATAATACTATTTTCTTCCAGATGGCACAAGGGATAATAAATGTCCAATGTCTTGTCACGTCTAGTCCTACCCTAAATCAAAACAAAATTAACCAGGTTTATCGATCACTTGCATGGGCTTATGGTTGTTGGGACAAAACAGGGAAGACATCCACGCTGTGTTGCCTTAACCTTTTCAAAGAAGTTGACGCTCCAATTAAAGCATATCATAGGCCTTCGTGTTAGTATTCTGGTGTCTCGCAAAGCAGCTGTCGAAATAACGACCAGAGGTGGGCCCATATGGCTAGCTATATAGGGAAGTCGGGCTTGTTGCACCCAAAATTCGACAGAGGGTCCACTTTTTGGGATGTCAATTTTTAATCTTAACCGTCAAAATATAAAGAAATGCAAGTACTTTAACTGGACTAAATAGTTTTATTGAAATCAATGTCATGTGAAGTTTTTAAAGTTGCGGTTTCGATCTACACTTTTTTTGTGTTGAAAAAATCCACTTTTACTTAAAAGGCTAGCCGCCTGCTGGCCTGTTAGCTGGCAAAACACCGTGTATTGACGTATAATGTCTTGCGTAGATAATTGCATTTGGGTATAAAACGGGCATGCAAACGGTGCCTATCTCGCCAGTCCACTTTCACTTTTCATGTGCACGTCTTGGTACCAAACACTGACTGGTCTAGTCACAGACTCCTGTGTTGGAATTTACCCTATTGTTATCAGCGTGGTTAAACGGGAGTTGAGTTCAAAATGTTTCATTTTATTATAGTCGTCAATAATATTTTCAATGTGTTGTAATGCTGATCTTTCACCGAACCCATGCATTTTGTCGCCCTTGACTGGATAAGCTAAGTCAAGACACAACAATGAATGCCCCAAAATGGACCCTAAGTTGTAGCTCCTTTACAATGGTAGGCCTACCCGGATGTACTGTTTTCTCGTAAAATCTCGTAGGTTTTCGAGGTTTTTCATCCTGCACGCTCTTTATTTGCCTATGTCAGCTGTATGGCCTCTGACATGCTTGAAAATTCACAATGTGGTACGTTTCTCTCACAAAGACCCTTAACATTCCTAAATATATTGACACCAAAAACTAGCAACCGCTCATATCGACGGGTCCTTATTTGCGTCAAACGTACGTTAATTGTCTAACTTTCCCATTCAGGATACGTGTGGCAAGTGGCGTCTGCTTTGCAAGCAGACTGGCTCGCCGTCCGTAGTCACTATCGGATCGCGGGGCGGGAACCAGGCCCGCGATAACGTAATTATGCCTAATTGTCCGACAGCCAGTAAAAATAATTTGTAAAGTATCAACAACTAAACATGGCATTTTTTACGGTCGAAATCTTATTCAAAAGGGAATAACTTTATGTACAGATAATTTAAAAAAAAGTAATGTATTTCTGGATAAAACTCGAAATAGCACGAGGAAGGAGCATTAATGACCACGAATGTTGCAGCTCCGCTCATTAAGAGAGTCTGGAAAAGTATGAGTTCGGTGAAGATTATCAAAACAACATGAGCTATTAACTCGCAGAAATATGTTATGAAAATACTAATTACGTCCGGTAATAAAATAGTCTATACATAATAATGATAAAAATATCCGAAAAGTGCCCGCATATATCGACAGCCAAGAAGTTTCGTTTTACGGCCAGTCCTTCGTTACGCGTTAATGGCTTGAGTTTCTAAATATGGGTTGTATTTAATTTATTGTTGGAGTCACCGACATCAGAATATAGCTGGTACTTAGTTCATGTAAGAGACATCCCCCCTTCAACCTGTCCAGGTTTGGCCCCTCCCCCCCCTCCGGACCCGCAAGCAGAATTTGGAGTAAAAGATAAAATGGGAAAAATAGAATTTAGATACCAAATTGTATTTCCCGAAAGGCAAGTCTGTCATCGCCAGCTTGTGTATTTGCACGAAGTTCGACTTTACTAGGTAATTAATTTCCACAAAACGAAAACAACCCAAATCACCCGTTGAACTCATTCAATTGACTCTAATTACTGACGGAATTTAGATGAGAGTTTGTCCTTCCAATGAAATATTTCCTTCGTACGTAAGATTGTTCGGTATTCGTTTTCTTTCGCGAGGGAATGCCAGTCACCTAACACTGAAACAGTGGCGTATCGGGGGTGGGCGGAGCCGGGGGAGGGTGTTCCGTCTACACTCAACGAAAGTGAACGGTGCGGTATTTAGAAAAGGAATATCTTTTGTTTTTTTTGGTATGAAACTCCAAAGTAGCATGTGGAACTCACCTGTAACCGAAGTCTTGTAGATTGTCAAAGATCATCATTTGAAGAAATGCCCCCCCCCTTTCTGGAAACTCTATATCGAATAGGATTAAAAAAAATATTTTTTTAGGGGGGCAGGGGTTTAAATTGCTTTTAAAGGTTTAAAATGCTTTCAGAAAGCAGTGACGCGTGTACCTCCTTAAAGGCACGTACATTCGGGGCCGTATAGGCAGCATGGTTGATGAGGTGGTCGTTTCTACCTCAAAGTGGACATTTTTCATGTCTAATAACAAGTGACTTAACCTGTGGCAGATCTTTTTTTTAGCGTGGGGCGTCGTCCGACCGCCCCACCCGGTACCCGGCCCCTGCTATCGTTTACAAATTGAAGTGCAAGTTTGAAAGGTTATGATAAAGTCAACCTATTATTAAACTGTATTTCTATTCATACAATGCATTAACATACGGTGCATGTGCGTGTTATTGTAATCCTACTTCGATCACCCTCGTTCGCATTATTCCCCCCCCCTAAATGTCAAGTGGTGCCCTTTAACAGCCTCATAACTAATTAAATAATGAAAGGTTTGCGGAAACACCATGTGCAAATAATTTCTCAACTAAGTTAATGGTTCTGAAAAGAACCAGAGGTATAAACTCGACGTTCCGGTCAGTATGCTCTGACCTTCTTCAGGAGAGCATACTGACCGGAACGTCGAGTTTATACCTCTGGTTCTTTTCGGAACATTTCTCTTAGTTGAGAAATTATTCGCACATGGTGTTTCCGCAAACCTTTCATTATTTAGTATCTCCACCATGCAAAGCCTCAAATCTCATAACTAATGTTTTTTTATTCATGTATTTCGCCTAATGTGAAGAAGGAATGTAGTATAATGGAACCTGTGCATTGTTACGCATCATGATTATGCAGTGTCTTCTGTTAGTGGTATACGGCGTATATGTTGTGAAAAAAAATTAAGTAAGGCACATGCTAAAGTACATGCGATTACTTGGGGGAGATGATAAGAGAAAGTCGATAACTAGTAAATAAGTGAAGGATAATGATGATGATGTGAAGGATGCTGTGAATGTTAATGCGCGCTGAATGACGCCTACTAGCGGTCATGGTCTTTGACAGCCTTTTTTACAGCGCAACTGAAAGGCAGGATCATTTGCATTTAATATTTATACCAAAAGTAACCTCATCATATACGTGTTATCAAAAAGCTTACTTGGGAATGGATTAAAGATCGTACTGGTACAAAACACCCCGTGAAATTATGCCATCTGGCTTGCTGTCATTTCGAAGAAATCAAGAAATGTATACTGTGATTCCCAGCGATCTGCCAGTTGACTGACTTTCGGACTAAAGAGTATTTTGCACGTCAGCAACCGACAGTATTTACTTTACACTTGCCATGGGTCTGCACACTTGCACCGTGGGCAATTTGTTGTGATGGACAGAGATCTTGAGATGCATTAAAAAGATTTTGAATAGCGTGAGAAGTAAAGTGGTGACCCTTCTTCGAGTGAAGTGATTATCGTGCTTCATCGACCTAGACCGAATCTCTATAGCCGTTTTGTATATACGGCATTATCATAACAGCATTATGTAGTGAACTTCGAGTACAAAATACATTGCATGAAAGAAAGATAAATATACTGGGGCGTTTTACGTCTGGTATAGTGGTCGTTTTTGTAGAGACAATTCAAGTCCTTTTTTTCAGCAGGAAAGACTAAGTAAAATAAGCAGAACTGAGACTTTTTTGTTCATTCCTTGAATGATAATACGTGTTCAGGCCTCTGTAAATTAGCGTTGTCGGAAAAGAGCCGAGTGTTTTTTTTTGAAGCTGCGCATGGCTGTGGACAAACTAGACCCGCACAATACTTTATTGCCCATTTTGTTTTTCTTAGACATTTACTCCAGGGTTCAATGGGCGATAAAAATAAATTATCCAAACACTCGTGACTAGAGTGATACGCTCCCATGAGCATAATGACGTATGCTTCTATTAACACAGAAACTTAACCACCACGAAATATGATCCTAGTATGTTGTGAACACGTCTGATCAATGCTTTGTTGTTATTAAGAAAACTAGATTTATGTTTGTGGACAAAGGGCTGTTTCGGTAATTTTTTGTGACGTGTGACATTAAAAGTTTCAAGTATATGTTCCATCAAGGAAGAATGTGTAGTTCTGTTTATAATAAATGGTGGCATATACTATGTGATTACATTCTCAAAGGGGCTTTGAATTATGACGTCACATGTCACGTGATGACGTCATGATGACGTCCCATCAATTTTTATGTATAACTATAATTTTGTGGTAAAGAACAACTTATCTTGAGTATACATCGTTGAAAGCGAGTTCACTTCTTTCACCAATTTTAAATTACAAGGCACTTCCGGTTTCAACCGGAAGGGGAGTCACGTGATTTTGCACATAATATACAAAATGAAGACCCTGGATTCTGTAAGCTGTTCAGCGGAAAAGCCAATCAGAACAAAAACAAAGGCTTTTGCGCTGTTCAGCGGAAAAGCCAATCAGCACAAAAAAAGGCTTTTTCGCAAATTGCGAAATAGCCAAAAATCAGAACAAAAAGAAAGGCTTTTTGGCAAATTGCGAAAAAGCCAATCACATAGGGATGTGTGTGAATTAGATTTGTTTTGCTGAAAGAACGCACCCTTTTTGTGATCCGTGGACAGAACTTTAAAACGGTGGTTGTGTTTAAAAATTCCGTAACTTGATATGTACATGAGTGATTTGAATGGTTCTTGTTCTAAAAGAAAGTTTATGAATTGGTCTTTCATGTTCTAGATTTTGAAAGTCCTACATGCAGAACTTCAATAAAACAATAGACCCGACATTTGGGTTTCGGTTTTTTTTTACTCGCCCTGTATTAACTATAAACTTAGGTAACATTAAACTCAGAAGATCCTTGCCCTCTTTATATCATGTTCACATACATGTATATTTTTTTCGTGTTAATTATGTTCGTACTTATTTACCTTTGCTCTTTTCTCAGTCAGCTTTATCGTATACATGCTTCATTTCAGTAACATCTGCTTTCTTTTTCTGCCAAAAAGTGATCAATATAATGGTTATTTTTGTTGACTGCTGCTTTGTGGCTGAGTGGGAAACGTAGAACGTGGGAAACAGCTGTTCTGTATTTTTAAATTCGAACAAAGACACTTTATTGAATTCTGACCAACACATTAATGACATGAAACGGTTTCGAATTCCTTTGCTCACATTTCACAAATGCTTAGGCCTACTTCATGGCGAATTCGAACCACCAAACACCAACATTTTTGTCATTGTGGTCTTGATGAAAGAAAGTGTAAAATTGTGTAAGCGGAATAAAATCTTTAATATTAAGAAAATCATAAAATATCAACCGATGACGTCATGGTTACATCATTTCAAATTTTGCATACTTGTGACATTATCTACCGTCATCGTGACGTCACACATATTGTGTATATACCTATTATCTGACAAGCCAACTACAAAAGGATTTTTGAATTTTGCATGTTGCGTTCTTGAGATACCGCTTAAAGGTCGAAACATTCAAAAATTCATATCAAATCGCACGATTACGTCCTTATGACGTCATCTCAATTTTTACCTATAACACATCCCGGTCTACCAACATACCGAGTTTCAACCCAATCGGACTTACAGTTCTGTAGATATAGGCCTTCCAAATATGCACATTTGTGATGATGTCACGTGACCCATGATGACGTAATCATGACGTCACTCTTCGAGACACAACTTCACTATAGGGTCTTTACCTGAGATAAGTTTCATTGGAAAAGGACTTTGTTTTAGATCAAAAGTGGGTCACACCAAAAACGTGTACAAAGTCATTGGGATTTGGGGTGGACCCAAAAAGATAAAAAAGAAGAAAAAAAATCAGAACAAAAACAAAGGCTTTTCCGCTGTTCAGCGGAAAAGCCAGAAAACAAAAAAAATAAAAACTTTAACGAACCCAAAGCCTGTTTCGGCCGGTTGCCTTTTTCGGCCGGTTGCCGAAACAGCCAAAAAAAAACTTTAACGAAAACAA